CCCCCCCTCCTTTTAACTTATTGTATTTACTTTTGTATTTGCTTTCTGTTGGTTTATTTTTTCATTACTTTGTTTTGGTTCTTATTTATGGTTCTCGTTTCTTTATTTATGGTTTGGTTCTTGTCGAAGTAACATAAAGAAAAAACGAAAAAATAAAGCAAATAACAAGAACCAAACGATAAAATAAAGGAAATAACAAGAAGATAAACCACTTTACAACAAAAGGCAAAAAGAAAGGAAAATAAGGAAAAGAGAACTAAAATGAGGATAAATAAAGATCAAATGGATCAACTCCCAGAATCGAACTGGGACCATTAACACCACAAGTTAAGGTTCTACCGTTGAACTAAGTCGACCTATTAGCTTTTATATCCTTAAATATTTTAGCCTTCTTCTTTGGTTCTTTATCTCTTTTTCTTTTTTTCATTCTTCTTATTGGTTCTTCATCTTCTTTTTTCTTTATGATTCTCGTTTGGTAGTTTTTGGTATTTATTTTTTGGTTTTTATTCCCTTTTTCTTATTTATTTGTTTTTCTTTTTTTTGGTATTTCTTTTTTTTTTTTCTCTAGAGAAAAAAAACAAAAATAAATAAGAGAAAAAAAAAGAAATGCCAAAAAGGAATCAATACTAAAAAGAAAAGTAGAGAAAAAAAAAGCAAAATAAGAGAAAAGAAAAAACGAGAAAATAAAGAACCAACAAGAAAATAAAGAAAATACCAAAAACAGAAAGACGAAGAAAGAAAACAAAAGTACTTATCTTTCCAACCTTTTATTTACTTTTCCTTCTTTTTATTCCTTCTCGTTACATTCTTCATCTTTCGGCTTTTCTCTTTCTTATTCTTTTATTTTTTTTTCCATTACTTCGTTTTAGTTCTTATTGTTTTTTTTTTGCAAAAAAAAGGAAATGAAGGAAAATACGAGAAAGTAATAGAAAATCAAAGAGATAAATTTAATAGTATAATTGCTTATTACTTATATAATATACCGATCTTTTCTATTTTTATGTTCGCTTTATCATCAGCCTATTTCTCGTTTCTCTTTTTTCCTTTGGAAAAGTAGTCTTTCCTTCCTTCTAAAGAACTACTTTCCCCATTTTTCATTACTTTGTTTCTTTTTTTGGTTTTATTTTGGTTTGTTCGTATTTTGTTTTTTTTGGTATTTGTTTTTTTTTTATTTCCTTTTCTCTTATTTTCCTAAAGGAAAATACAAAAAGGAA